TGCATCATCCTCACACCTCTCCTTTGCAAAAGGGGAGGGAAAAAGCAACGCTTAAGCAACAGCAAATCCACGCCAAACGGGGGATCTGCAGGACTGCAACGACTGCAACTCAATAAAACACCACAGAATTCATCCCAACACTTCTGCACACCTTTCTGGTTTGCACAAAACTGACACAAAACCCAACAGCAACCTGGCCCACCAGAGCAGAGCCATGGACAAAACACCCATCAGATGTTAGGGTGCAGGAGCACAACTGGAAAGCAGAAGTTGTGAGGAGAGCCTTGCAGCAGGCTCAATATATGAGGAAGGTATGCTTTGATTTTGTGCTGCGAGTTTGATCTGCAGGCTGCGCTTTCTTTTTTGGGACCAAATACGCAATAAAAGCCACAGTTGGTCATGAATTAAAAGGCTGAGTTTCCCTTTTGGCTTTGGTTGGGTTTTGGCGCAGCCAGGCCGCTCCAGTGCCATGTCAGTACTGCCTCCTTTGAGTGGCTGCAGACAAGCTGTCCGGGCCCGCTGCTCTCCCCCAATTTAAGTCCGTTCCAAAATTCAGCTCCTTGTCCATCGGGGTTGGACTCCATGATCCCTTCCACCATGGGATAATCTGCAACCCTCTGGATTTCAGACATGCCAGGTATCACGCTGTGGTCTTCACCACGTCCACATTTTATCAATTCTGTGCTCCCAAATTCCCAGAGAACCAAACCCAACCCGCCCCCCTGTCCATAAAAGCGTCGTTATGCACAAAGTCACAGATCACCATTGGAAGAGCAGCCCCAGAAACACAGCTCCTATGTGAGATTGGTTTGAACAGCGAGGCCGTAAGATGAGACCGCATGGGTGAGAGACACAGAAGGAAGGAAGGCTTAGAAGAGAAGATTTGGGCTCTGCCAATGATACCAAGTGGAAAACCAGAAGGAAAAATGTGTTAATGTGTGCTTTTATGATACTTTATGCAAGAATATGGGGGGAAAAAGAACAAACTGATGTTTCTGATGAAATTATCAAATATTCGAAGATTTCAAGAGAAAAATGCACATTTCTTCCATTGTTTCCAACCTGTGGAACGCAGCAGACCCCATCCCTCCTGCAGCCCAACACAGCATCCCCTCTCCATGGCAGACGGCACGAGCTCCAGCCCCTCTCTAAACAAACCCAAACACAGCAGGTCTCGGTGGCTGAGGTTCTGCAGATCCCAGCACACTCAGGGCAGCTGCTGGGGGCAGACGGGTCCTCGGACAGCGTGATAATAGGAGAGAAGACGTGCTCTGAAACAGTGAAACGTTCACATTTGGAAGCGTGACGGCACCTGAACAGCCAGACAGGAGCAGGGTGGGGTTGGACGCTCAGCTCTAGGATGCTGCACGTCAAATAACACAGCTCCTAAATGTTAATTATCCCCCAGACCACAAACAGCCCTTCCAGTTCCACCTTCCCACCACTGACAGTCCAGGAACAGGCAGGATTTATCTTCAGCCACCCTGGAGATGGGGAAACCTTCCAGTCTCACCACACCACCACGGACAGACAGGAACAGAATGGATGCATCTGCCTGAGCCCTGCATGGAGACGGGCAGCTCAGGGAGTGCTCTGCAGAAGGCCAGCAAGGCAAAGCACCACCGCAGAGAGCAGCGTATCAAATGGGCACCATCTCACAGGAATTACAGTTAGTGCAGAAATCCTCCATTTCTGGAGCAGGAGGGCTGGAGCTGGGTGATCACTGAGGTCCCTTCATCCAACCATTCTGTGAGTTTTTGTTTTTGAAGTGCCCTAAGGAACACCTCAATATCCCCAATATATAACATCAGTTCAGAGAACGCCAAGCAACCAACTGTGGGGAAAGCCAACCTCCTGCAACGCCCCTCGAGCTGCAGCAACTCCTCTCCATAAAGACCTCCATCCCGGGAGCAAAATTCTTCATCCTCACAATATCATAAAACACAACAAACTGCTACCATTGTGTGCTCAGACACAATCATTTACTTCCCGATTTAGAGGTCAAGGACTCAAACAGATGATTGATGAGTTCAAGATTGAACTTTGCCTCTCGTGCAGAGCCCTGCTCTGTCCAGAGCTCAGCTCAGCCTCAGCCCAAACCCAGGGCTGCAGGAGACAAAGTCATCCTTGCTGTGCCAGGGATATGCTGACAAGTGTCATAAAAAACCACCCTGCAATGTGAGATGGGGTTCCTCGGTCGGGGGTTCCGACTCCATCCTGGAGATGTGAATGAGCACTGCTGCAGCAATGGGAGAACGAGTTTTAAGAAAGAAAGAATCCTCTTCCAACCTCCTTATGAGTCCCTTCCAGGCAGGAAGAGCTCCCGGAAAGTTCAGGAGCACCAACAGCTGAAGAAACCCCTCCCAAATAATAAAAAATTAAAAGAGAACATCAGGAGTGCTCCTCATCACAGTGCTCGGACTCCTGTGTGGTGACATGGGGCATAAAGACAGCAGATCTGCTCCCTAAGCAATGTATTTCCCAAAGAAAAACTGCCATTCCTCAACCCGAGTGACTGCAGCGTGGTCAGCAAACCTGCACAGGAATCAGCAGAGATGATGAGAACGACTGCAACTCAGCTCAAGGCAAACGGCGGCTGCATTTCCTCGGATTTAAGCACAAGGGTGATGCGGGAGGAATTAAGCCGCCTTTTCCAGCACACAGATGAGTACCTGGTGCTTCAACCCGACAGCAACTGCGGGCTCCCAAAGCACGGTTATGAATAGAAATCTTGTACAAAAACAAAGCTATTTATGCCCCGCTGGAAAAAAAAACGCTACGGGAGAATCTGCTGTGAATAAAGTCTGCTCCTTTGTCAGCCTGCAGCCGCCCCAACAATGGTGTCAGCCACTGGCACGGCTGAATGGGAGCTGAACATGGGTTGGCTGGCACTGCTGACAAAGGATAAATCGTGTGCAGCAGCGATTCAGAAGCAGTTTGCTTTGCTGAAGCAGCCCTCAGCTCCTTTTGATCACATCCAGCCTGCAGAAAGCCCAGTTTGGATGGAAACCCCAGCTACAGAGTGCTCCTCCACCCACTGCCAGCACAGGACGAGCAGCACCGTGTGCCCCCAGCTCCAGGGACGGACTGATGTGGCAGCACAGCTGTCACACACTCCTTTTGTGCAGAGAACCATGGGCTAAGTGCACACCACCACCGTGAGCTTCCAAATCCCAGCCTGGGTTCTTCTTTGGGTCCCTCTTCTCTTACAACACGTTGAATCTCTTTGGGTTTTGTCTGGTTTTTGTTGTTTTCAATGGATAGCATCAAGAAATGTACAAAAGCCCATCTCTACCCCAACACAACTGACAGCAGATGGCTGTTCCCAGGGCGCTGCCTTCCATCAACCCAACAAACCAAAATCACCAAAGCACCCAACCCACAAACAGCCCTCAGCTGCTCCCCACCAAACCTACAAACAACCCAACCTCGCTGCTCAACCTTTCAGACGTCCCAGAATGCCCCCATGGAGCAGAAACAGCTCTGAATGCAGCTGATGAGGAAAGCTGTCACCTTCCTCAAGGTGTGCCATGCTTAGGATGGCCAACCACCAGGGGACTGCAGCCCTGACCTGTTGCCCCTTTCATGAACTGCTGATGTCAACAGCTTTGCAGTGCTCTAGGGAAGCCCGTTTAAGCAGCCAGCGCTAAAGGCAATTAATCCAGAGTGCACTAATGATTAAAATAGGCTGATGGGTCTCAGCGTGCAACAGGAAATATAAAATTATCCTTAGGCGAATGATTTGCTGCTGGAATTCTGCAGGGATTGCTTTGACTGCCCTTTTAACACTGCTAACACCTCGCACAGTGCTATCAAGGATGGCTGCAACCACACTCAGAGAGGATCCTAAAGAAGAGCTGCTGTCCCCCAGGAAGCCGCCCCATAGCACAGCGTAGGGCTGCTCCGAGTCCCCTTGGAGGTCCCCACAGCCTTGGCTTCTCAAAGACTCCCTGCTGCATGCAGAGGAACCTGGCAGTGCCACACAGTGACTGCAAATCCTATTTCTTGAGGAATTCCCAAAGTGGCTCTCGAGCAGCGGGTCAGCGAATCCCATCCACCAGTGGGATTTTGTGAGCACATGAACTTTGTCACTTTTCTTTTGATTTGCAGGTATTGCTTCGATGAGGGACAGCGTGATATTTGGGTGTTTGGGAAATTAAATGGGAGCTGCTCCTGCACATCGCTGTTAAACCCCAAACCTCTATCAGACATCAGAGAAAAAGTGGCTTTTAGGAACCTAACAACCTAAATTCACTCTCACCACCCTTCCACCACAGCTCTATACAAACATTTACCCACAAAGACTCCTCTTAGTGGGTGATAATTGGAACAGATATTGAGAAACACAAGAACCAGTGCTGCAGGTGATGCTGATCAGCACCGAATCTCACGCAAATCTGCTCTGCAGGAGCAAGAGCCCAACCCTGTGGGCCTGTCCACTGCTCACACCACGCTGTGTCTAGAGGGTTAATTCTGCACTGCAGTGCAGTGAGTGCTGTGCAGCTTTCGGGCAGTTCCAAACTCACTGCAAGAAACAACGGTGCTTCTCGCTTGTTCAGCTCGACCTCCCGGAGCTCCACGCACAGCAACCACTGCAGGGCTCTGCCCACCACTAAAGCACATTTTGCAAGGTGATCTGCAGGGAACCAGGTGCCGTCTTACAGCTCAAGCACTAAATCATCTACTGACATTGGGGGCAGGGGAAACAATCTGAGGAAGGAAGAGCTGCGTTTTAGTTCTAGGCATTAAGAGCTTAAAGTGCTGTTTGAGTCGACACTCTTAAAATGCACGTTCAGTGGTATCTGCCCCCAAATATCCGTGCTCTAATGGACACATATAGAGACAGAAGGGGCAAACAAAGCGTAGTCTCAAAAACACAAGGAATGAAAGCTCTGGTATCCCAGCAGTAGTGAAGGAACACGGATAAAAAAATCAGGGGTGACACCAACAGGAATTCGTGGTGAGTTTGGATCTGGCTACAGTGAGTGTGCAGCACCGACCTCTTGAAGTGGCTGGCCAGGACGCCCACCAGCTCCCCAACCCTGCTGTCGTTGGACGGCTCTTTGCTGAACAGGCAGACGATGAGATCCTTGTTGTCCTTCGTGTGGAAAACCACCAGCTGGTCCTTCCCATTGGAGACGCTCAACCCGACCAACTGCAAAGAGGAAGCGAGAACAACATCAAACTCATGGAGGTCATTCACTGCTGCCACTCCGCCTCCTTCCTCTCACTGCCTCTTCGTTTCTGCCTCTACACCGAGAGCAGGGCCAAAGGGAATGGCTCTCCTGCTCTCCTGCTCTCCTGCTCTCCTGCTCTCCGTGCTCCTCCCAGCTGAAGATAAAAAGGTAAAACATCGGCTGCTGGTTGTTTTGTTTTGTAGGGAAAGAAAACACATAAAAAACAAAAACCAAGAGGCAAGTGCATTAACAAAGTGGGGCAAGAAAAAGGGAGAAGAGGGAGAACGGAGGGAGGAAGAAGTGTTGGAAATATCCAAATAATTTGTCAGGATGGCATCTCTGATAAAAGCAGATTTTCTCGCGATGGGCATCCCACAAACAGCACCCTAAGGCAGCAGTGACAGCTTCTGTACCTTGCTTCCCCCCCTGCCTCCCCCCTCCCGTTTCCCCATTGCAGGCACCCAGGTTCACAATCTCATCAAGGTTTACATGCACTAATTGCTGTGCTATCTGGTGCCAGCCAGCAGCCATCCTGCTGTTCCCAAGGCGTCTCAATGCCCTTCTTGTCGTATTGATGTGGTGATTTTCTTCCAATTCTTTGTTAAACAAAGGTGGGGGGCTGCCAGACCTTCCTCAAAACCTTCCTCAGGCCCTCCCTAAGGCATATCACCACTCTTCCTTTTAATTACAGCAGGATAGCCCTGCACAAAGTGTAACACTATTTTCATGCTGGCTATAGGTAACTTGTTGCTAGTTTACATATGTATGTTGTTAATTATTTCGCTTCTCCCCCTTTAATTCCCTGTTGCTCAGGTCCTGTCTGTCCAGCACCAAAACCCAGCCATTTTTGAACATCAAGGGGTTTCTGATTTGTGCAGGCATTTGTTACGTCTCGCTTGCCTTCAGCTGAAGGCCCAGAAGTTTTTCAGATGGCTGGACAGACAGGAGCTGCAGCCTTTGTGCTCACAGCTTCCTCCACCTGCTAAACTCCGGAGGTGTGTATGTATTACTTACACAGGGAGCATGTGCTGCTGGGGAAGGATTATCTAAAGAATGAGTAATGAAAACTACCAGAGAACCCCAGTGAAGTAGAAGGACCCCTGAAAAGAACTATCAGCTCTAATAAAGGACCCAAAGGGTAGCAGAGGCCATGAAATTACAAAAATTCTCATCTTGTTCTAATGCAGAAACAGCATTCGGTTCCCACAGGAGGGAGGAGGAGCTGGTGCACACGAAGATGGCAGAGCAGATCTCTGTGTGCACCCAGGGAGGACACAACTCCTTCGAGCTGTGCGATGCGGGCAGAGGAAACCACACTGCTATGAGCAGGAGGCACTGATGCACCATTTTGGAACTCAAAACGTCCCCATTTCCTTTCTAAAGGAGAAAAGGCCTCTGTGAACCCCCACTGCCTGCACTGGAAAGCAGCTGAGCACCATCCGACCTGCAGACCTCCCGCTCCCAGCTGCGCATACCCAGCACAGGTGGGGTTTATTCTTTCCCACTGACACTATTTTGGGGCTGCGAAATTATTCCACGCCTCTGCACAGGCATCGACAGCTGCTGGGCTTTACGGTGTCCCTTACAATTAATGGGCGTGCTTTAATGACATCTCGGGAGCACGGGGGGACTCGTGCCACCGCGGCTGCACTGTGCGCAGAGAGGAGCCACGAACAACTGAAGTCTGAATCTGAAAAGCCGACCGAAGCATTAATTATTCAACAGGGCTTTGTCACAAGTCCAAGAGCCCATAACTGCCCTGTTTCACCCCGTCCCTCCCCCTCAAAAGACTGAACAAGTGAAAATAATACAAAAGAGATCGTTTTAGAGAACGTGCTTCACTGGGCATTTACAAGCGCTAATAATATCTCCGCCTGGAGAGCTGAAGCATCCCCAGCAGCTGCGGGGCTCCGCTTTCGACACGCAGCGCCGCAGCCCTGAGATCCTCCCTGCTTCTCAGTCACCTTCAATTCCCTTCATGCACAAACGAAGAGAACGCAGAACGTGAAAAGCAAGCGGGAATCACACGAAGGGCCGCACTGAAACCACAGCAGGTGGGGGACGCAGCGCTGACACCAAGCGATGGGAGCAGCAGACATCAGCTGATGTCTCCGCTGAGATTTCCATGGAAACAGCGGCCCGAGCAGCGCCGCGTTCGCAGGGCGCTTCGGACCCGCTGGCAGCACAGCCCGGCTCTCACCGCGCTCCCCTCGCTGCGCCCCGCCGAAGGCGCCCACCTCCCCCCGCCACGGCCCTTGCGGTCGGCCCTGCCTGCACGCCCCGTCCGTGAGCGCTGCTCTGATCGTTACCCGCTTGCTCTCGCACTGGTTCAAACACTTGTTCTTCCCATAGGGGCAGCTGTGGTGGCTGCAGGTCAGCGCCTGCACCACGGTGCCACCCCAGCGTGCACAGATCTCCTGTTTCCACGCCAGCAGAGCAGAGATGCGCGGCTCCAGCATTTATCGCGCTGGAATCCGGCCCTGACCCCTGCGTGGGTCCTTAGGAGCCACTTCCCCTACAAAGCACTCGGCGGCAATGGCTCGGCTCGCGTCCATTGTTCAGCCCAAAGGGAATCATTGCAGAGCTGTGAATAAAGCTGATTCCTATCTATGGAAATGTAAGTCTGTGATGCATAAAATCCCAGCTGGTCTGAGCTCACCTTGATCCTTTGAAGACATCCCTCCACCTTTTAAGCATCTGCTGTGCGTTTAACAAGTTTGTTAGCACAAGCAAGAGTCATTGAGATTGCTAAATGCAGCCTGCTGACAACTTGGTTTGGCACAATTAAGAGATAATGTCAGCACAGCACCGCGTCAGCTCAGGAATGACCTGCAGTTGCTGCACAGTGGCAGCAATGTCTGTGCAAAACAAGAGTCGTCGTGGGACTGCTTTGCTGCAACACCTGCAAGGACGGAGGGCAAGGCAGCAGCAGCTACCCGCACTGTGCTGGGTCAGGTGGGTAACCAGCAAGGACGCTGGCAAGGGACCAATCAACCCAACGTTTGGATGCCATCTCAGCTCATCACTCATCCACATTCGCAGATTAGGTTTCACTGCTCCTCTAAGCCCATTTTTTAGCCATGGGGGACCGTTGGATTTATTGTTCCTTCAAATGCAAACATCACAACCAATTTGTGTAGGACATCTGCAAGCAGTGCAGCCAGGTTCTGTAGGGTGGAGATAATCACAGCAGCATTACCTCAGGCTGACGGAAACAAACAGGTTGAATCCACACTCTAAGAGGAGCTTTTCTCCCTTCCCCCCTTCCTCCCAGTGATAATCTGCTGCTCTGTGACTGGCAGCTAAATGCTGCTTACATTAAATGTGAACAAATATATATAAATCAATTCCAACAACATTCGGGATCAAACGAACCCCCAGAGACAGAGAAATTGTGTCTCAAGCTGCTGTGAAATGCCAGACCCCGATGGGGCCAAGCACAAATAACAAAAGTGCAGAAGGAAGAGAAGAATGTGTCTTTTTCCAACTTCCTTCTCCATTCTACAGAGAGGAACATGGAGCTACAGGAGCTCTGCCAGTGACTGTGAGATTGTCTGTAACTCACGTTGTAGAGGGGGATGGTCTTCATCACTTTGTACTGCTTCGTGGGGTCCATCTTATAAAGGTGCCTGTCGGTGATGAAGATTGCTCTGTCCTCCACCTTACTGAAGCGGTTGACCTGTAAAGAAGCAGCTTTCAGCCACGTGCTCAATAAAAACCTGGCAGCAGCAAACACAGAACATTCACACAGGTCTTGAACAGGTTGACCTGGAGGAGTGAAGAGGGGAGGTTAAAGCCATTTTATACCCAGGGAAATGGGCACTGTGAGAGCAGCTGGGACAAGCAAGACCAACATCCAGCAAAGGATTAATTACAACGGGAACTGCGTTCTTTCTCTTCGTTCCAGGTATTCTGCTGTTCTGAATTTGTGTTTATTTTTGCTATCCGTCAACAGCAATAGCATCCCTCCAGTACCCAACCAATGAAATCACCAGAAGTGCTGCCAAATGCCACAGCAGCACCTCTGGAAAATTACTGCAAAGATATGAAACTGTTTGTTAAGAATTCATAAGGCTACAAGATACAAACCCTGTACCTTCACAACACCTGATGTGGGGAAAATCTAGGAATACCAGTCAACTGCTGGTTCCACACCTTATGGGAACAGTTAATAAAGTAATAGCAAAACGATATTCTCCTGAGAGCAGTGTTTGCTACCCTGGGATCAAGCCTCTGAGGTCCCTTCCAACCCAATCCACTGTAAGATTCTTTATTTGTTTGCTCTTATTACACAGATCTCATAAACTGGGGGTTGGGAACAGATGACCTTTAAGGTCCCTTCCAACCCATCCTACTCAACTCAACCCAATTATTCCATGGTTCTACGACCCTTACAGTCCCCCAACTCAACCCAAACTAACGATTCCATGGTTCTGTGATCTTTAAGATCCTTTCCAATCCCAACATCCCATGATCCCACTGTTTTATGATCCTTACAGTCTCTTCCAATCTCAGCCATCCCATGATTCTGTGAAATCCCCCCATCCCCCTGCAGCTCACCACTCTTCCAGACCACTGGTGACATTAGGCTCTACCAGTAGGGTTTTCACTGAGGAAACACATCTCTCTCTCTAGCATTACAATTAATTCATCAAGGAAATATTACACAAAAGGAGAATAAACTCTCTGGGAGGCTGAATGCTAAACAGTCCCCAGGTAAAGTCTTTGCAAAAGCAAAAGAGAAAGCAGGGTGAAAGCAGAGCTACTGATCTCTGAGCTGTCACACTCACACCACGGCTTGGTGGTGCAGCCTACAGGACAGCTGCATGGCCTGGAGATCAAACAGGGCTTCCTCAGGTGGTGATCCACCTCACACAGACATCAGATCACAGAATCATAAAGGTTGGAGAAGACCACTGAGATGCTCCTGTCCAATCCCAGCTCGTCCCACCACGTCTGCTCTGGAATCACAGAACATTAAGGTTGGGAAACACCTCTGAGATCCCCAGGTCCAACCCCAAGCCACCCCCACCCTGCCCACTGACCTCATCCCTCAGTGCCACACTGGCACAGAACACCCCAGGGATGGTGACACAGCCTGTCACAGAATCACAGAACTGTAGGGGTTGGAAGGGACCTCCAGAGCTCATGGAGTCCAACCCCCTGCCAAAGCAGTTCCTACAGCAGGTCGCACAGGTCGGCATCCAGGCAGGTCTTGAACATCTCCAGAGCAGGAGACTCCACCACCTCCCTGGGCAGCCTGTTCCAGTGCTCCTCACCTCACTGTACAGAAGTTCTTGTGCACATTGGTGCAGAACTTCCTATGCTGCAGTTTCCAGCCGTTTCCCCTTGTCCTGTCTCCACTCCCCACTGAAAAGAGTCCGGCCTACTGATAGACCTGGATCAGGTCCCCTCTCAGCCTTCTTTCCTCCAGGCTGAACAGACCCAGTTCACTCAGCCTTTCCCCATAGCAGAGATGCTCCAGGCCCCTCACCATCTTGGTGGCCCTCCGCTGGACTCTTTCCAAGAGATCCCTGTCTGTTTTGTACTGGGGAGCCCAGAACTGGACGCAGTGCTCCAGATGAGGCCTCACCAGGGCAGAGCAGAGGGGGAGGATCACCTCCCTCGACCTGCTGGCCACGCTCTTTTTAATGCACCCCAGGATGCCATTGGCCCTCTTGGCCACAAGGGCACACTGCTGGCTCATGGCAACCTGTCGTCCACCAGGACACCCAGGTCCCTCTCCGCAGAGCTCCCCTCCAGCAGCTCATCCCCCAACCTGTACTGCTGCATGCAATTATTCCTCCCCAGATGCAAGACTCTACACTTGCTTCTGTTAAACCTCATCCAGTTTTTTTCTGCCCAGCTCTCAGCCTGTCCAGGTCTCGCTGAATGGCAGCACGGCCTTCAGGCTGTCAACCAAACCTCCCAGCTTCGTATCATCAGCAAACTTGCTGAGGGTGGCCACCATCCCCTCATCAAGGTCATTGATGAAGACGTTGAACAAGACCGGACCCAGCACCGAGCCCTGAGGAACACCGCTGCTTACAGGCCTCCAACCGGACTCTGCACCGCCAACGACGACCCTCTGCACTCTGCCAGTCAGCCAGTTCTCAACCCACCTCACTGTCCACTCATCTATCCCACACTTGCTCAGCTTTGTTATAAGGATGTTGTGGGGGACAGGATCAAAAGCCTTGCTGAAATCAAGGTAGACTACATCCACTGCTCTGCCCCCATCCACCCAGCCAGAGACAACATCATAGAGGGCCACTAGGTTGGTCAAGCACGACCTCTCCCTGGTGAACCTGTGCTGACTACTCCTGATAACCTCCTTTTCTTCCAGTTGTCAGCACCTTCAGGTGGTTTTGCACCTGTGACACACCAGCGTAACCAGCTGGTGCTGTGCCTTCAGTGCCACGTGGGGAAGCACGCACAGAAGAGATGCAGCCACATGCCAGAGCAATTGCAAATGCCACTGTTCTCTGGTTTTGTAGGAGTGGAGACAGCCCCTATGTTCTCAGATAGTGATCATGCCCTTCCTAGCACTGTGTTCTCTGCACCTTCTGGGCTTCTTTTATTTATATCCCCGTTGATCCAAACGGGAATCAGACTTAATTTAGCTTCCTTAGCTTCCTTCAGCTGATAGAGAAAAATGAAGGTCCAGCCTACAGCAGAAAACCTTCAAACAAGTTTTCCAGGTCGCCCCAGGGCTGAGAGCAGTGGCTTTGGAGATGGAGCTCTCGAGGGAGAGCAGTGCCACAAACGACAAGAGCAACAGGAAGAAAAGACGTGTCCTAAAAATAGAAGAAATTGTTGTTTCCTAGGTGATAAAACAAAATCTGGCAGCACGCATGAAATATGCATTTGGTTTCCCGAGGCAAAAAAAAGCTGAAAAATAAAGAGCACCACCACACTCAGCAAAAGATGTATTTTTCCACAGGAAAATGACCTGCTCCCACCTGTACCCACTGCCAGAACGCAAACACACACACTTCCATCACACAGCGCCAAAGCTTCTTCGCAGGCGCTCTATAAAAAGAGCTACAAAGCTTTGGCCCAAGCAGATTCATCGCTGCTATTCGTATCAAGCTGTCAGAATTAAGACCCCGCACACCCAAGCAGTTATCGATACTTAAGAGCTGCTGCGAGCTGCTTTTGCCTTCCTGACTTCTCCAGAACAACGTCAATCAGCAGCTAAAAAAAACCGCCTCCGAGAAGTCCCTGCTTAGCAAATATCCTGCAGCTCACAGCGGATATGCTCTTCACATCAACATTTTTAAATACGTGAACTCTAGGCTTAACTGGTGCCTATTCAAGCTGCTCTGTGTTTATCCTCTTAATGTCATTTCTTTTCAAAGAAAGAAGAGCATTAGACTGCAATTACCTGAGAGTTCTGAGGATCAGACACCTGACACTGGAGGTGAAAGTCAGCACTGTTTGTCTACTCCAACCACGGCTACAGGCTACAATTTTTCCCCTTCCTTAGCTGGCAAATCCGAGGCTCACATTTAATTTAGATTCCCTGGGTGCATTGTTTGGAAAGATCTCGATGGCAGATCTTGAAATGTCAAATCTTTGTCTTGTTGGCTTTCAAAGTTCAGGGCTATTTGTTCCTCTCTCTGGTTGACTTTAGGCCTTGGACATTTTTTCTTCACCCAAGAGGGAAGGCAGACAAATGGTTCGTTCGAGCAGTTATCACACCCACTGCTCACTGCTTTTGGGTTTAAACGTAGAGATACTCTGAAACGGCCTCACGTATGTCATCAAGGATCCTACACAGCTGTCCCGAGCAGCAAGACGAAATTACTTCATCCATTTGTTTGGGAACCATCGGATCATGAAGGTTGGAAAAGACCTCCCAGATCACCAAGTCCAACCCCCACCCCTCCCCACCATCCCCACCTCCCTCACGAAGGAGGAGGCGCTGCTGGTTTCCTCAAGGCCAACACTTCCCTGACGCGTTGTGCTGTCACCAAACACATCCATTTGTTCTAGGGCAGATCCCTAGGAATGAAACCGCAGCGCCAGGCATGAGGGCAGCGCCAGGAACGGGCGCTCAGAGCTGCGCTGCAACCGCTGGAAAGGAGAAGGGAAGGATCCGTGTGTCAGAAACCTCTCTCAGCTGCCCATGCAGGAGGCTGTCCTTTAAAGCTGACTCAGAAGTGAGAAAAACCGAAGTACTTAAAAGCTTAAACGTTGCGTAACAGTGAGCAGCACTGAACTCCCACAGGGGCTGCATGTGTTACATACCTGCTGAGTAATTCCCCTCACCATCACTCTACCCCTATTAAAAACGACCATTTCTTTCTCATTAAAAATAACTACCACGTCGTTAAGAACTGAATGTTGTATTTTTACAGTTATTCCAGTTTTAAGTAGAAACAGCAATCATTTGGATCTGGTTTATTAAACCAACTGCAATGGGAATTTCTTTGTTTTCAGCCCAAACGAACAAAAATGTAAGGTGAAATTCTTCAGTATCTCCATCAGATTCTACACAAAGTGCTTCCAAGGCTGTACAGGTGAGGTCTGAGACTCTCCCGGTCCTGGCACTACAACCCAATACTCACTCAAATCACTCATTTAATTAGTGACTTTCAAAAAGAGAGTGTTGAAAGCAATGGGCTCCTCTGCTGAAATAGTGGGAAGCAAGAAGAGATTTCTACTTTCATATACAGCAATCACCTTCTGTTGTATAAACATCATTGCCACGAGGAAAGAAGTTCCATTACAAAGTGGACATTACTCACTGCAAAATGAATGCTGTTGCTATTGAAGGTACTTGCAGAATCCCCAATACACATCTGGCAAGGGGAGGCCAACCCCCCGCGTCCACTGTGTGCAAACAGCACAGATCCGTGGCTTCTGGAGAGCATCCAGCATCAGTGGCCATCGGAAGGTTTGTGTCTGATGGGTTCATAAAGCTCAAAATAGTCTCTACTGATGGACATTCTCAAACAGCATCGTCAGAAACCACCCATAGCAGACCTTAGGAGAACTCTGTACATCACAGTAGCACTGCACACACCAGAAAAATCCAAGTATGTTTTTTTCTGATGAGTTTTTAAGGCTTTCCTGCCAAAGAAGCAGAATTCTGCTCTCAGATCCAAGCCAGCTACACAGAATCAAGTGACTTCATTCATTCCTCTGCAACAAAGAGGTCCCTCCAAGCACCCTTTGGTGCAATAGGTTCTGAGCCACGGATCCACCAAAAATCACAGCCGATTAACAGCAGTCAATTAACACGGGACTACTTAGGAGGGCATCTGTAGAGGTATCTGCAGTCCTGCCATCCCTCCGTTGGCAACACACAATGCCACCCAGCCCCAAAGCATCCCCACCCAGCTCACCTTGCGGACGTGACACGAGAAGAGAACATTCATGTATTTGTCTTTCCGTTTCAGCTCGGTGGCAACAGGGAGGAAGGCGCCCGTGCTCTGAGGGTGATCCGGCCTCTGCAAGAGCAAAGAGGGGCTTGTCACTCTGTGCTCACTGGGGACAGCAACTGCACGGCGTCAGGGCAGGACTGCAGCTGCACCACCTCATCGCAAGCTTCCTCCCACCCCCCTGGAGAGCAGCAGAGTTTTACGTGCTTTCAGAGGGAGCCTGAACAAAACAAAATGCTTGGAGGAAGGACGGAGTAGAAAGTATTGCAAGTTGCCTCGAGATAATGTCTTTGTTCCTTTCCATTTAGTGCTGCTTTTAGCATCCTGCTGCATCCAGGATTTCAGCCTTACACCAACCTCCCTCTCAGGTCTGGCCATTTGATGAGCCAGCTGACGGCGTTGCTCACCACCCTTTAGTGCTGTTTGGGATGCTCACTCAAACCAGGCTCGGTATGTTCTGGAAAATTAACCTGCAGTGCTCTCCCTTCCAAGAAACCAACAGCCACGTTCCCAAATTTCCACCCTTTTGGTTTCCTGAGCCCCAGACCCCTCTGACCTCCATCGGTTCCTCTGTGTGCTCACCAGTGCGATGTAATCCCCCTCCCACGCTCTCTGCAGCCCCAGATCTGCTCGGTGACCCTTCAGCACCTCCATGGCAGCAACCTTGGCCCGCAGCTGAGGTAGGTCCTTTGGAGGGATGCTCCGGATGAGTTCCCCTGCTCTCCACCTGCCATATAAAGCTCGAGTCAGGCTCACATCTGTACCAAGTGCCCTGAAGCTTACATGACACATCACCTTTAGCTCCTACCAAATTTGGCTGACACGCTTCCCCACATCCCTCTGGTGCCCAGAAGTGAACTGATGGCACTGATAGATCTGTTGGCAATACAGTTTTTGCAAGCCCATTTTTTAGCTCATTTAAAACACCATTCCTTTTTTTCAGCCAAATTTGGTCCTACAATTGAAATCTAACCAACTGTAACATGAAAGAGGACAGACCAGAACATTCGTTACTCCACCACCTTCAGCAAGAACATTGGCTCTGTAGGACCAACGCTGTGAAAAGTCTTTATCGACTAAAATTTGGTGATGATGATAATTGAGCTTATTCAGAAAGCAGGACACTACCCAATAGGTCATGGACAGCATTCAAGAGACAGCTGGGAAGAAAAACAAGGCCAACCTGCTCTAGTGCTGGTGGTATTCTGCTTCAAGCAGATGGCCCTACAGATCCCTAGAGGCCTCATCCAGCCAATATTTCCTTTGTTCATAACTTTCAGAAGATATCATTTTTCAAACTGGAATCAGAGCTCCTGACACCCCTCCTGTCTGCAATAACAAGACTTGCCAAAGAAAAAAGTCACTGGCTTTTGGTCATTAAGGAGGTTGCAATGAATGTATAAAACAACTCTTCCACACAGTGCATACAGTGGATAGCGGTATGTTGTTTAATTTACTTCAAAGTAGTATTGACTTACTATAAAAGTCTCAAGGGACTCTAAAAGATTCATTTTTCTCTCTCCTGCCATCCACCAGCTGCTCTTTTCTTTCAAAATTGATTAGAAAGTCTTAACTGGGACTAAGTAAGGAAGCGTGGTGTCCATCGTGACCAAATCTCTGAAACAGGACAATTATTTGCCTGGTCAGGGTATCAGAGCCCACTACGTGGGGAGGGGTTGATGTTGGACTTGGTGATCTCAGTGGTCTTTTCCAACCACAGCTGTTCTGTGACTCCAACATCTTCATTTTTGCTGCCCAGTTAATGTCCTCCAGTCATCTCCCCAAATTTTCCGGAGCAAGCAGGAACCGTTCAGTCCTCGCTTAGACCGAACAGAGTCATGTTCTCATTTGTACCTGTGGTAAATCGCCTGGAGCGCCTCTTCAAATCGGTGCAGCACTTTGGGTGGCGTGGGCCACTGCACATGCTTGCCATAATCCTTCATGGATCGGACGTTGCGGAAGCGCTGGGCGACCTCGTGGATGTAGGACTTCACCTTGTAGCGGCGGTAGTGCCTGAGGATCGTGAGGGCAGCCCTCGTCCTCTTGTAGCGGAGCCGAGCCAAGGTGCCCCTCCAGACCTGAGAGCCACAGAGAGGACAGAGGACGGCGTCAGAAGGAAGGAAGGAAACGCCTCTTTATTCCTCTCCATCCCTACGCACAGCAGTCATCAGCTTTAAAGAGCGAGATTTTGGCGTGCCAATAGGATTCGGCTGGGAAAACGTGGGTGGGCTGAGCTGCTCCTGGCACTGTGCGACTTGGTGTGATGGACAGTGACACGTCATGACATTTGGTGGCAGACAGCAACACATCACGATATATGATGGCATGCGATATCCACTCACAATGACAGTGACACGTCACGACATGACAACACACAACAAAGACACGTCATGACATGACGACGCACGTCAATGACACGCCACATGACAACACACATCCACGACTCACAATGGGCAATGACACGTCACGACATGACGACACACGTTAATGACAGGTCACAACATGACGACACACATCAAAGACACGCCACGACATGACGGCACACATCCACAACTCACAACAGGCAATGACACGTCACGACATGACGACACACGTCAATGACATGCAGTGACAGGCTATGACATGTCATGACATGTGACGACACATTAACGATGCCAGATGACAACAGGTGAAGTTGACTCAGGACGATGCACAGCACCACAGCAGGACACTGGGCAGTGACTCGTGACAACGGATGACAGCCCTTCGCGACACACGCTGACATGCAATGTTGACTTATGACAACACGGCTCCCTGAGTTGGTGCACAGCTGTCCTTTCCCTCCACCACCACCCACCAGGATGAAGACTGCATTTCTGCTTCCTCGTAGGATTAAACTGAAGGATAAGGAGCCTCTTGCACAGAACGAGTGCAGCACCACCCACTGCAGGCCCCGCTGGGAGCTGATGTCTCTCGAGAAACATCCCGGAGCTCCACTGATGCTATCAAGCCTTCTGGTTACAGAAGAATTAATTGATTACCACGGTGATCTCCAACAGAGCATACTCCTGATGAAGCTGATGTCAAAGGTTCTCCTGACAGCCCTACCGATAACCCTGCTGTGTGGCTGAGAACAGCCATACGTAGAAGAGGCAGAGCAGATGTGAAAGAGCTCTTCTTTATACTCTGAACATTCAAAGAGGAAGCAGAAACTTTGGGTTCCTTCTCAAGAAAAGCAAAGAACTCCTCCTTCCACCTTCTTTCAGAATCCCTCTTCGTACTCCTCCAGCCTTCTGCCCCTCCAAAACAGACCCAGGAGCCACATCACGTTGCCCAAACACCCCACGGTAACACCAAGCCGATCCACCCTTCGCTTTCAGCATGCTAAACTGCACGTGTGCAACTTTACCCCAAGATAGAAAGCAGTCCTTGATGCAGCACGAGATCACCCCACACACCATCCATTCAGCAGAACATGGTGAAGGCCAAACTGGGAAAAAGCAAGAGCAAGAAGTGCAGAAATCACTGTAACAACAGCAATACAGCAGCAGAGTGTTGTACAGCCAAACAAAACTGGCAGTGAGACAAAGGGAGATGAGCAAGGAACAGCGGATTGGTACTGAAAATCTAAACATCATACGCATAGAGCCACAGGAAAATAATATCTAACACCTTCCTTAATTGCATTTCAAAGCATTGGGCAGACGGGGGGAAGGCAGCATCGTCTGCACAGAACAAACTGGCACCAAACATACCTGCAGAAAGCATGTCAGCAGCAAACCAGATGACAAGATAAAAAAACCTACCACCAACTTCCTACTTGTTAATTTCAAAAGAACAGAAATGGGGAACGAGGGGTGCAGCGGCTGAGAGCCTTCTGACCTCCTAAACCATCACAAGAGAACAAGCACACATTTTGAGCTGTTTTGGACACAGAACGAGGCCTCAATTCGCTCCCCTGTGCTGCAGCAGACACGTTCTTGAGGAAAGCCTCTCTGGCAGGGTTTTTTTCCAGACGGGTGGAACAGAGGCACAGTAACAGATTGCCCCGATGCTGTATCAGCTGCAGCGCTGCAGAAATTGGCTTCGCAGCCAGAAGTGTCACAACGCTACCAACAGGAGCCTTCCAAACCCAATTATCCAGCCCAGGGCGTCCCTTGGCTGCACACAAACAGTCGGCTCTTAATGAAAAACACGTCCTCCAATCAAGCTGTCAGCACTGGGTAACCTCGCTCCTGGTGAGGGCCTTCCTAACAGCCGCACTGGCAGCTCGTTCCAAAAGTAATGAGAAACCAAACTCACAGGCACTGTATTTGTTTTCTAAGTTTACAGTACGTAATCATTTTTGCAGACACAAGTCTGTAACTGTCCCAGGCTGACACTGGTTGCTTTATCTTCTGACTCCATCCAGCTTCAGCCAAACCTGACAAAGGAAGAGAAAACCCCAAGAGGCAAGGTCTTACAGGAGGAATCAGTGGCAGGGGCTCAAATCAGAGTGACACTGCTGGAAGGAGTTCAAGACCATCTGCTTTGTCCCATCTCCAAATCCCAAACCAAGCTCCCAGCCAAGCACGGCCCCGCGATGCTGGGTCCCAAGCCAACAGGTAGGAGGATCTGGCAGTGTTTCAGGGGGGTGAGGATGGTGGAGGTGCACGAAGGATTTGAGGAGGGTGGGAGAGCACTGGCCGTGGTCACGAGAATAAAGCTGCGGCTGTCATCGTTGTGGAATGTCAGCAGCATGGGGCAAACCCATGGGAAGCTCATGAAAACCCTGTTGGAAGATGAGTTTTATAGTGAAAAACTGAAAAGCAGACTCAAAAGCAATCAATTTTGTTGCCAATTACTGCGGCATCCAATGACCAAGGCCAGGCTGGCCGCGGCCCTGGGCTGCTCTAGTGGGGCACAGCCAGCCCACGGCAGGTGGGTTGGAGCTCAATGAGGTCCCTTTCAACCCAGCTATCCTAGGATTCTGTGACCAAGTGAGAGCAAGAGACTTCATGCAGGACACTGTGAGAGAGAGGTCCTCCACACAAAGGGCTGCCCAAGGAGACAGGGCAGAGGTTGGGCATAGGAATGGGTAACAATCAGCACCAAAACGGAAAGAAACGGTGCATCTGAGCTCCACCTCCCAACCTTTACCCATCCACTGCCCCCTTGTGATCTCCCAGCTTCCCTTCGATCACCTCTGCCTTCTCCACACTTTGCTCAGGTGATGACAGACTAACAGGGCAATTCAGAAATTAAGGCTGAGGACGGATGGAGAGAAAGCTTTGGAAACCAGGACAAAAAGAGGTTATCTGGTGGCAACCCTGCCTGTGGCACTGGGGTTGGAACTGGATGACCTTTAAGGTTCCTTTCAACCACCCCGTGATCCTATGAAAAAGAAATGGAAGTCTCACCCACACCAAAAGTCAGACCTTATCTTAAGGGAAGCACTGAAATCTTCTCCTGAAGGATGTTTAATTCACATGGCTTTGAGGAAAAATTAATAAACTCAAATTCAAATGATTATATACGATTTAAAGCAGATTATAAACTCGCTGAGCTCCTAGCAACGATTCCTAAGATTAAATAAAGCTACTAGAACTGAAGAACTTCAACTTAGCTCATCTGAATTAAACACCAGTGTTACACTTTGGAGCAGCACTGCAACTAACCGAGCCTTGGCCAACCATTTCATGCTTGCTGTAGCACAGCACACCTCCTCCCACTGCTTTGTGATCAATATTTCATGCTGCCCTCCAGGCATCCAAACTGAAAAAGATAAAACAAAACCCAGCTAGGAACTCACAGAGCCATGAACCCTTCTGCACCGCTTTAAAGGGCCTCAAACAGGAAAGGTTATGAAATATTTAAGTCAACCTGCGCAGTTTGAGGCACTGCAAATCAGAAGCGAGCTTTAATTACGCCGCTCCTGATTGCCCTTGGAAGGGTCAGCTCCTCGCAGAGCGGTGCAGTGCGAGGCGATGGAGGCCGGATGGAACAGCCAACATCCACAGCCAGCTTTGGGACCTGCATTTCACAACGCAACCAAACTCAGATCCACCAGAGGAATTTCATGTTTGTAAATCAGAGCCTCCTGGTTCCCGCGGATCGCACTGCAGCACACACAGACAGCGAGTGGGAAGGGCTGCTTCATTTACTAAATGCTGCTTTCTCTTTTCACATGAGTCAGCTGAACAGTGCTCGTTCCATTACTTTGCTTAATAGAAACAACATCCCAATAGGTGGAGCGGAGAGAGGGGTCACCTCAGATTAATTAGATTGCACTGAGAAGGCTGTGCCCAGCAATAAATACAAAGAGCACAGGGACAGGCGAGGGGCGCATGTGAGAAGTGCGCAGGGACGAAACGGTGGACAGGGAGAAGTGACGGCTGGATTTTTCCTGCCACTCATTGCTGCCCTGCCTGAAAGCTTCCCAAAATTCTGGCAAATTCTGCTTACCTTTGTTCAAAGGTCAGGAATGCTGTGAAAGCATGCGAGGGAGGACAGCGTTCATTGTGGTGAAAGAGAAAAACAATTCCAGAAACACACTGATAAACGCAGCTCCATCACCAGACGTTTGGTTTTGCCCCACAGCCCCATAAGCCCCACAGGCCATGGGAAAAGCTCATCACCATCAGCAATTCACACTGCAGCATCCTATGAGGGAAGGAGATACGCACAGAAATCGTGCACCTTTGCCTTACTTTGGGTGACCCTGATCCTCTCTTGTCCTCCTTTACCCAACAATGAATGGATATTGATGTCTACTTCGGTTAAAGAAGTGTTTTCACAGCACGTCCTGGGTGAGGAAAGATGATAAGCAAGCATTCAGGTGTCCCACTGCACCTGCAGGGTGGGAGCCCTGCCCTGTGGCACATCCCTGACCTCTTTCTGCCAGCACAGATGCTCACCTGAAGTACGCTGTGCTGTAAAGAAGGGGGAACTCTGAATTACAAATCAGTCGCAGTTCCCTCCTGCTGCCCCCCATCAGGCGGAGCTACGTCGTGGTGATGGTAAGGGACGTTCATGGCTGATCCTCAGTGGCTCCCAACAGGACCTCAGTGGGCTCTCAGCAGGACCCCAGCACATCCCCAACGGGTTCTCAGTGGTTCCTAACAGGACCCCAATGGGTCCCAACAGGAACCACTGTTCTCCTCCTGCTGCCAGAGTCTTGCACACACAGCGCCCGTGCCCAGGGGGTGCTGGCTGATGAGAGCAATCCTCTGCTCCTCTGCACCGAGCAGTGAAGATTTAGGGAAGCGATTTCCATACGCAGCTGCACTGCTCTGATAAAACTGCTCTGGAATTGTGCACTAAATTATATTGACAAGATGCATCGCTTTGCATGATGCACGTGCTGAGCTGCTTTCTTGAACAAAGCGCTCCTCTACAAAGCTAATGAATATACGGGAACGTTTCCAAGAAAAACAACCACAGAAGCAAATTCTTACCATTATCAAACAAAGGAAGCGGCATGATGTTAAGGGTTAAGGGTTACTCACATGATGAAGCTGCTAAGATAATCACAGAATCTCTTTCTGAAAGCCTTGGGAGCAACACATCGTGTAATACATACAATTAGAAATGAAGACGTACATTTGAAATAAGCAAGAAATGGAATTGCTATCAGCAGATTTTCCTCTCATTTAAAATTACTGAAAGACAAATGCTACTGGACCCCAACCTGAGGCAGGCTGCACCTCTCCCTGCCCCCGGCCCAGTGCCATGCTTACAGGCAAAGTTACAGTTGGTTAAAGGAGCAAGAATTACATTTTTGTGTGCATTTTTAACAGCTGAAAGCAAGTTGAAAACAAAAATGAGACACAGGCAACATTGCCAGTGTTTTCAGAGCCTCTTCAGATCCTCAGTCTGAGATTTCATTTGTCACTGTGCTGACTGCTTCCTGCCGGTCTGTGACTGCCCCATCTACCGGCAGCAGAGCACAGCTGGAAACGAGGACTGGATTCGGAGCACAGAAACACCAAAAACGGCAGGAAGAAATCGCCTTCCATCTTACACAATTCCACACCTACCAACTTCAACCCACCACCCAACCAATGCAAATGCAGATGCAACCCTGGACTTCCAATTGTCTCCTTCCATGTTGGTCATACTGACTTCCAGAAGGGAAATCAGGTCAAGCACGTTGTTAATACAACAACCCTATTGGGCACAGAACAGTTTTTGAACCAGCTCTTGTATTTTGTCCCCTCTGCTGCACGGCCATTGCAGGGAGTTGGGCTAGATGACCTTTTGGGGCCCCTTCCCACTCCAACAACTCTATGACACCATATTGCTTGGAGGTTGCAAGCCAGCTTCTGTTGTACAGTCACCCCTAAGCCCAAACGATTCAGGAATTTGCCAAGTCCCATTGCTTAGAAGAGGATTTTCATAAGAAAAGCCTGAAAACGCCTTTGCACTGAAGTTGCAGAATGTAAAATTATTTACCCGGAGGGTAAAATCAGGAAGAGCTTGAGATCAAATCCCGTATTCAGAAGGGGGAGAACATGCAGGGGTCCCCTGCACAGCACCTTGGGGTCACAGCCTTGTGATGCTAAGGGCCTTCTATCAGCAGCTCTGCAGATGACCTCCACTCTGTCACCCTTCCACCCAAACTGCTGCCAGCATTGCCAGAGCCCCACAGCAGCATTTTCCTTCTTGCTGTGATGTAATTCTTGCGTTCTCGTGATGTCTGCTCCTGCCAACCCCAATACTGCTGTTGCTGTGAGCTCCCATGGGAAGAAATTGCCACCAACACACAAATCACTCCTTCCTTTCCCCTCATTTTCTATCCCTTGCCTGCCTTTGTTTCATTTACCTTGGAGGACTCAGCAATAGGTACACGCAAAGCTCCATGAACCAACATGAAAGCATTCTTCCAACCCAAACCTGTGATTCTATGACTCACCTCAAACGTTTTGTGCTCAGTCATCAGCAACACGATGAAGAAGCAAGAAAAAACAACAGGGAGCTTGAGAAAAGGTGCTTTAAGGATCGTGAACTGAGCTTTTTGATGCAGCAAAGCGAAGCTTTACCTTCTGCAGGAAGAGCACAATCCTGACGAGCATCTTGGCATGGAGCTCCTCCAAGGTGAACAGCGTTCGTGGTGTGCGGATGAAGATTTTGGTCTTCCCATAGGCAACATCGTGCTGAAACCCATGGCACTCAATGAGCTTCTTCACAGCATCTTTGTCTGAAGGGAGGTCATGGTTTGGCCAGGTGAATTCTGAGATCATCTTGTACCTGGAATCACAATTTCCAATGCACACTTGTCCTCTGTGCTCTCCAGAAGACCAACCTTCAATATCTTTTAGGCATAATGACCAGCTAAATTGAAATACAGCTGATTACATGCAGCAGATCCTGAGACAGTTTGTGTAGGAGATGTGATCCCCAAAACTGAACAGCAAGGGAATGCAAGAGGTGTGATTTTAAGGCACTGAAAAGAACAAGTACTGTGAGGAGCTCAGTTCATCGACACAGAACTGATGAATGCGATGAGCTCCATCAACAGAGCTCTGCAAAGAGCAACACTGGATCGTCCACGTATCATTTCTGGACACACAAACACAGCTGATGCTTTAGCTGCTGTATTACCCACATTCATGATCCAAATAAAACACTCTTGCAACAGACTTAACCACCTCTCTATTTAAAAGCCCATGATACAAGCACTCATGGGGCATAAATATTTTAAGCTGGTTTCTCTTTTCTGTTCTCATCAGGAAAATGTTCCTGCAGTAATTAATTCGATAGGAAAACCTTCCACCTGAGGACACTTAAATAAGGGAAACCAAAGGATCAGGACAGCACTACAAATGCATGCTTTATTAAACAGGGCCCAGAAAAAAATAGGGAGAGACGTTGGAGAGCTGAAGTGTGAGCAGGATGTTGCAGCACTGCCAAATCCTGACCTCACCACTAATTACAGCAAGGCAGGAGCCATCCTAAATCTGCTCAGTGACACCACAACCCTTCCCCTCTCCTTTTGCCTGTGCGTGGTGGCAGCTCGGAAGAGAATCACTGAGGTTGGGAAACCCACTAAGCTCATCCAGTCCAGCCATGAAGCCACCACGACTCACAGAGTCTCAGAATCACTAAGGTTAGAAAGATCTCTAAGATCCCCAGTCCAACCCGTCCCTGCCATGCCACCAACACTAAGGGTCACATCTGCACAGCTCTGGAACACCTTTGGGATGGAGACTTCACCACCTCCCTGAGCAGCCTGTGTCACTGCATCACCACTCTTCCAGAGAATAAATTGTTCTCAGCGTCCAATCTGAAGCTCCCCTGGCACAACTGCAGACCACCAGCTCTCGCAAGGCCCCAGGTCTGTAGCGTTGCCTGGGGTTGTTGTGGCTGAAGCTCAGGACCTGGCACTTGGTCTCGTTGAAGCTCATCCCACTGGCCTCAGTGCAGATCCCTTGTAGGGCTTTCCTACCCTCAGGCAGACTGACACCTCCTCCCAGCTCCTCTGCATCTGCAAACTTATTGAGGGAGCACTCAGTGCAGAGCAGATGGGATCTCGGTGTTGTTTCCATGCTGTGTAACACTGCCCGAAAATAGGCCTGGGATGCCGCTGTGGGGAAGGGCTGGGTTACAGCCACAGATGCCTCGCGGGCGCCGCTCCTCCGCTCCCCCAGGCAGCCCTTCCCAAACGCCCCCAGCGCTGCTTTATTTGGAATATCGCCGCCCTCGGGTACTGCAGGCTGAGCAGCACCAACTCTGTCCTGGAGGAGAGTTCCTTTATTTGCACAGTTGTGATCCCTTGCGATCCCCCTTCAGTAAACGCTGCTGAGCGTGCAGCTCCCACCACAGGTCACATCCGTACCTCTTCAAGAGGGGCAGGTTGAGAAGATTCAGTGCCGGCTGCACTGGGAGCACTGCTGTGGTATGCAAACGCAGCGTGTGCTCTTATCCTTTAGATGCTGATCGACCGCAGGCTCCGGCACAACAAACACTGCAGCACCTCAAAGCTCCACCACTTGCCACATGCTAATTTGGTTGGCTGGCTGCAAACAGCACTTCTGGCTTTAAGCTTACAGGAGCTCATCAAATATTCATGACAAACAAAGCAGCTGTTTATATTAATAGTAATTACACAAGTCTTAAGGAACAAATTCCACGTGCGAAGGCAGATGTGAGCACTAACCTCTGCGTAATGTTCAGGAGAACAGATACACAGGGCTGCAGGCTGTGTGATAAGCCTCACCTCCTGTTCTGCCTCAGGTATCATGGAACACCCAGGCAAATCTCCTCTGTCATCTCTCGTGGCATTTGGGTCTGACGTGGCACATCCCACCTGCTCAGTTCGGGCTTTTTTTCCTGTCCTCAGGGACTTTCCCTCATACAATTCAATAACAGAGGTTAAAACCAATTCAGTAACTGAAGAGGATGAATCCTCAGTATCTGCGCTAATTTACTGAAGCTGCAAGACAAATTACAATCTAAAACGTTCAATTTGCCACAGATCTGGTAGGAGTAACGAGGGCAAAGGATATCAGAAAGATGCTTTAATGAGGCCATGCTATTATCCCTTTCCCACACTTCCACTTTGTAAGCCCAGAGGTTTCCTCGTGTACTTGTGGTGTCACTGCACACCACTGACAGACACGGGGAAATGGTTTCAAACCGGAACAGGGGAGATGCAGATTGGGTGTAATGAGGGCAGGGAGGCTCCGGGACAGGCAGCCCAGGGAAGCAATGGGTGCCCCATCCCAGGGGATGCTCAGCTGGAGGGGCTCTGAGTGCTGGCAGAGCTGTGGGTGCCCCACTGAGTGCAGGCACTGGGACAGACAGCCTTAACGGCCCCTTCCAACTGGAACACAGTCCTATGACTGAGCGCTTCCCATGACACACAGCATCCACCCGTCCCTCTCACCGCAACCATCAGACAAGATGCAGAGAGAAAACAGCAGTTCATTAGCTCTGTTTTTTGGGTTATGCTCGGGGGAAGAACCTCATTACAATTCCCCACGGAGAGAATAACGCAGCAAAGGAGTTCAGCACGAAGAAGGGGAGCCCGAGCAGCGAGGATGAGGGACCTGAGAGCACAGCTGCCCTCCTACCTGTGAAGGAACTTCTGGTAGGTCTGGCGGTAGGCAAAGCCTGCCCTTCGCACCCTGACGTTCTCCAGCAATCCCAGGTACTCCACCTGGTGCCTGCAGCGCTCCTCGTCAAACAGCTGGGGGGACTTCTTGTCGTTGGGCTTAATGCAGCGGACGTAATAGGGCTCCTAGAGGGACAGAGACAAGAACGAGTCCACAAAGCTGGCAAAGAGCGGCTGTCACTCTTCACAACCAATCTGCTTCGACCGCACTGGGGTTCGAAGTTGATTCAGTTCTTTCTCTCCATCGTCAGCCCTTGCCATGCTCCCAGCAGGGAGAGCAGCACGCCCCACAAAGGCTCCAAGCCTGATTTCTTAAAGGCAAAACTGTTCCTTATAACCGCACGGTCTTTTATTTTTCAAGGTCAAACAGAATGGAAATGGAGATCAGCGAGTTCAGAGAAGAACCAGAAAGACTGAAAACCCAGAAAATGTGACCCAGAGGAAATACTGCATCAGTTCAGAAGGGCTGAGCCACAAAACCATGCTGGTGACAGCACCTAACATCTTCCATCCTTAATGCACCTGAAATGTAAACACAAAGAGATGCAGCAGTTCTGGTTTGGGACAAAGAAGGCTTTAAGCACAATACAGAACAGCTCAAGTTGAACATCAGCAGAACAAGCATGGGAGCAGAATGCCTGTGGAGGGGAGGAAGCCCATCAGAGGAGAGGAGCAGACTGCACACACACACAGGGAAGGGGAGCAGCGCTGTCCTCAATCAGGACTGAACTCCAGGCATTCCCAAGGTCCCCTCCAGTCCTATTTTCTGTGATTTGTTGATGACTTCGTCCTATTTTCTGTGATTTCAGGTCACCGTCCTAAACTCAGGATAATATGAAAGGCCCAAAATTGCCATTTTCCTTTCAGTAATGCTGAACAAATGGGCTCATCCCCAAATAACCCAGCTAGCCCTGACACAACATGGAAGCACGCAGCGCTGACGTGAACACGAAGCCTGCACACACTAACAAATAGGAATGGGATGAATGACCACAGCCCCAGCACTGAGACGAGACTCTAAGAGGCCCTGGCACTGCCCACAGCGGTGGTGCCCCATCCCTCACTGTGCCCAGAGCCACGGATGGTGGGGGGCACACAGCCCATGGCAGGGACTGGGAGGGGGGGCTTCCATTCCAACCCAGCAGAGCTGTGATTCCATGGCTCAGCAATCCTTAAAGTCCCTCCAACACAACTGTGCTGTGATTCCATGGCCCTGGGATCTCTGAGGTCCCTCCAAAACAACCGTGCTGTGATTCCATGGCTCTACAATCTTTGAGGTCCTTTCCAACCCAACCCTACTCAACACAGCTCAACCCAACTCAACCATTCCATGTTTCTACAATCCCTAAGTTCCCTTCCAAGCCAAACCTACTCAACCCAACCCAACAATTCCATGGTTCTACAATCTTTAATGTCCCCTCCAACCCAACAGTGCCATGAACTCATGGTTTCTACAACCACTGAGGTCCTTCCCAACCCAACCCTGGTGTGGCTCCAGCACAGTCTTCACCTGGCTTCTCTTTTCAATTCCTCAAAAAACAAAGCAGTGTTGAGAGCACAGCCTCCCCAGGACCCAGAAGGTCCCTCCCAGCCCAAACCATTCCGTGCCACCAGACAGCCAAGGGACAGCCCTGTTCTGTGGGAGGTCTTCCCCCATGCACCTCCTTCTGCTGCAGTAATTTGGCACAGCCTGATCCTATTCTATTTGCTGTGCTAAAACACAACCTGACGGAACAATTTAATGCATGAATCTCTTAAAACTCTTCATCTTTTTAAGCTTTCTCCTGCAAATTGCTGAAGGCAACAAGGTTTCCAGGGGTCCTTGTTCCCTCAGCAGGCTCCAACCAGCTCTCAGGACATGCAATGTGTGTGGGTGACAACTTCTCCTCGGCTGTGCCGTGGGAATCTGGCTGTCAGCCATGCGTCAAACCGAAGGCAGGAGCAGTCCCAGATGAACTTCCAATCCACGAAGAGGCTCCATGCAGTCATGGCAGCTCTTAGCGAGGAGGAGGAGGAGTTTGCTGGACCTGCAGCCCGCGATTTGTGATCTCAAAACACATCTCTGCCCCCAGGGAAACGGCGCGAGTCCTTCATCAGACATCACAGCGTTTGGTTCGCAGCTATTTGTTATCACTGCAGAACCCCTCCGCTGCCACAGCTCTCTCTGCCGGGGCTGTCACTCATCTCTTTGTCATTCAAAGCCCCCATGCAAAAAGATTTACCCTTCACGACTTCCAAAGAGGAGCGAGTGTATGAGAGCTGATACAAAAGGCAGAAGTCGAGATGCTGCTCTCCTTTTGGAAAACAGGAATAGGAAGTTCCTGCACAGACAGGAGATCATCTATCAGCACAATTACAGTGTAATTAAAGCCTCTCAGCAATGACAGCTAGCAGGGTAAATTCTAAAGGAGATTATTCCACGCTCACAATCCCACCAGCCCCAGCTCTTCAGGGGGATAATTATGCAGCTCCCATTATTGCACAGGAGGCTGTCAAGCCCAGAGCCACGTTTTATAAATGGAAGACTGAAATACAGAGGCACAAAGGCCCGAGTTCTGAATGCTGCTCAGTTGTCTATCTGGAATTGATTTTTTTTTTAAATGAAGCAGAGTGATTTTTAGATATTAAAGTGTTTTTGCACCACGATCCTGCTTGGGTGAATTCTGTTCCATAGTTCAGAGCACGGTGGATGGGAGAAAGGACAGGACGTAGAATGGGCAATTTGAGCTGGTTGTCCCCAAGTGGTCATGGAGTGGCACTATGGCTTAGTAGAGATGAAGCCTGTCAAACCGGATGGGAGAGGGATGGACAAGAGATAAAGATGGAGTAAAAATAAAACAGGCAAAAGGAATTACAGAGAGGGGAAAAACAAAGGGGAAAAAGAAGGGAGAAAAGGAAAAAGAAGAAGAATTAAAACCAGGATGAATGTCCAGAGAGAGCTCCTCCAGAAGCTCATCATTTAGAGCCACGTCAGCCCCAGGGCTCCCAGAGTCAGCAGTGAGGGGAGGAAGAAAAGCCACTGCAACAAGTCATCACAGACAGAGCAGCACGGCCACAACTCCGTGCTGGGCAGCACAGCCCCACGAAGGCACGGAGCTCTGCTGCTCCTCACAGCCCCACGCTACAGCAGGACGCAGCAAAGCAGAACTGTCCAAGCCAAACACCCAGCTGCCATCGGAGCTCCGATGTCTGCAGAGTTCAAGGGTTGTTTCTGCTATTCTGCTCCTGCTCAATGAATTGGCATCTCTGAAGCCCCTGAACGATGGGTTTCAATAGTGCTGATGCTGCTGATAGAATTCATTCTACCAATGAATTCCTGGACTGCCATTCCGCCCCAGGACTGCAGCAACTGCACTGCTTGGCTCCCAGGTGACACAGCCCAAAGGAAGAAGCACAAAGTCCATCCTCAGGCCCCTTATCTATGCTGCATCTGCTTTTCTGGGCACACCAAAATTCAGAGCCTTTAAAGTAACGCAGATATGAAAACAAAGCTAACATGGAGTGAGGTCCAGATTCATACGGTGAAGGTATCCACAAATACCTCAATATCCAAAAATACCACAAATATATCCACAAATAGCTCAGTGCCAACTCTCAACCTGTGTGCAAAGGGAAGGACCTTCAGATGCCCTCCTGCAGGAGCACTGCCTGTGTCAGCCCTTAAAGCAAAGACTGAAGCCCAAGCTCATCCCCCCTGCTCCAGCCCTGTGCCATAGTGCAGGTTGGCCACAGCCACGACAGTCCTTGGCCTCTGAGTGCTGGGCAGGAGCCCTCGTTAACACCTCTGTTTAATGACAGTCTTCCCTTTCGTGGGATCCAAAACGCCCTGGATAATACAGCACTCTCCAATTAACTGCATTGCTCAACAGCAAATTTGGAAACATCCAACCTCCTAACCCCAAATCCTCAATGAAAATGTAGGGGAGGTATAAATACAAGGGGAATATTTGTCCCTAAGTCTCTAACTCTGCCTTGGAAACGATTCCCCATCCTCAGAGGCTTCCATTTGCGACAACAAACCAACCAAAGGTACTTGTTTCACATCAACCAGCCATCCTTCCACGAGGCATTCTGCCTCAGGATGGTGAATTCTGCCTCAGGATGGTGACGTGCAGCTTCAGCTCCTCATCCCCCACTGTGAGTTGCAGGAGTTGTTCCAGGCAGTCTCCTGATTGCTTTGCTCTTACAAACACAAAGGCCTGGGCTCATTTCTTCAAATAAACCAATGAAGTTTTCCCACGAGGATGAGCAGAAACGTCCCACCACGATGCCTGGAGGGCAGCCCTCCCCCCCAGAGCCCCCAGCCATTTCTGCCTGTTGCTCAGGACCCTCCATGCAGGTTTACTCCCTGTTGTTCACACAGGAGATAACGCGCCCTCACCTCGCTTTCAAATGAAACGCAAAGCAATGGAACAGCACACAACCCTCACACAAAGCAGTGCTCACCAGAGCAATACTTCCTGCTAAAAACTTCATTATTCAGAAAAATAAAAAGTTTCACTTCTCGCCATCTCACACAAAGAGAAAAGAAGGAAATCACACTGAATTTTCAACGAAGATATTTAGCATTGAGAGACAGAAAAAAAATAATCTCCATGCTGTGAAACTACATCCTCTGGGCCCTCTGCCAGAAGAGCTTTGTTATTTATTTGACACAATAATTATTACCCCCCAAAGAGGGAGGCTCGACTGCAAGTGAAGGGGACACAACACAATCCAGCTCCTTTGTGCAGGGATGGCTGACAAGCGTCCCAGGAGCTCCTCACAGCTGCCCACTGCCACAATCAAAGCTCATCTCCACTGATGAGCTTGGCTCTGTGACAGACAGCAGTGACAGGAAGCTGACAGCTGTCTGTAGACGAGCACAAGTGGAGTCAATTTCCAATGGAAGCATTTACCTTTGATGCCAGGTTGTCCACCAGCGCAATCATGGAGTTCTTGAAGAGGGTAGCAGCTGTCAGAGGTCGCTTGGTGACCTCTGTGATGCTCAGTTTACCTTCGGGCCACATCATCTTCAGCACAGGATTAGAGCTAAAAGGCAAAGCTAAAGCTAAAAGAGCTAAAAGGCTTTAATTGCACGGAGCAACAGAAGGGCCCTAAGTGCTCCATTCAGCTCAACACTCAGCAGGGTGCCCAGATGTCCTTGCCACCCAAGTCAAACCAACACAACAAAATCTCTTTTGCTTTTGAGCAACGCTCAGGCTCACAGCACTTGATTCCAAGCTGTATTCCTGTGCAAAGGGGGACGTGGCTCAGTGGCTGCACTGGTGGGCGCTGGGACTGGATGATCTTAGAGGTCTTTTCCAGCCTTGGTGGTTCTATGATTCTGCAATTGACACCCTTGATATATATATGAATTACTTCATCTATTTGAGCTGACATTTTCTGGAAGCTGAGGTGAAACAGCCATGATGGATGGCAAGAGATCTGGAATAGACTGGAACAGCTTTGTGGAGCCCCTCTAGATACAGATTTTGGTAGCACCTCACACACACCTGTCAAAGGCAACTTCCACTCGTCAGTATTTACAGCAAGTGACCGCGTGCTTTAGAGCTGTCATGGCACAGCACATACGAGACCAACTCCATATATTTGCTCATTTTTCCCATCACCCCAAACCTCTCTTTCAAAACGTGGGCTTCCAGTTGGGGCCAACATCTCTGCTGCTGATCAAACGCTGCTCAGTTGCTCTCTCACAGAAGGGAGATCAGTAGTGGCACCTCCACTCCTGGTCAAAGGCACGGTGCTCATCTCTGCACAGCAACCCTGACTGCAGTGAGGTGGGACCAACAAACCCTGCACAACCTGTGCAGCTGAACGCTAGTTTCTCATAGCATCCACTCTACAGAAAGGGATCCAGACAGAGCAGACTTAAGTTCACCTCCTTAATGGTTTTATTCCTACCTGTTATACATGAGGCGCTTGAAGTCTTGAAATAAAGTGTCCTTGTTTTTGTCAATAAATCCAGAGACTGAGTAACTGCAAAAAGGAAAACAGCGTTAATGCCAGATTCGAGAGCCACACTCATGACTTCTGCCTTCAACATTTCCACATCTCAGTTTTCCTTCAGAAAATTTCCCACCAGTCACTGGCAGCGCTGAAGCTCAGCCTCTAATAAAGAACCTGGGACTGTTTTTCTCCTTGGCAGAATGCTTTGGAATCAGCAATGTCTGTCAGCAACCACTCAGCAAAGACTCCAGAATGAATGGCACCCAATACAACCACCTTGGTTACCTTTATAAATCAAAGGTAAATTTAATCCTAAGGCAAAAGGTAAAACAATAAACCAAAAAAACCTACATCGCTTCCTTCCCAACTCCTCTTTCTGCCCTGTCATCCTAAACCACATCATTTCAGTGACTGCAGACAGTGGCCACCTGTTGGAAGCTTTCTAACACTGTCCCCGCTGCTCCTCACTGCTGTCACACCTGCACATTTCAGGCCCAGAACACTTCCCAGCTGCATGGGGCAGATTCCCTGCACTGCTGGGTTAGTTTTACCACCGCCCTGCCTTCTGAGCCAGCTCACATTGGTTTGAGAATTCCAAGCCAGAGAGTTGTATAATCACACCAACAGATGCCTAAATGAGGTTTGATTAGCTCTCTACAGCTTCTTTGTATTGCCATGGTAGGCTTTGCTTTTTCCTGAAGCATTGCTTTCCCGTTCACATTCTCCTTCTGTTTCAGTTCCAAATTCATATTCTGTACAGCCACCAGCTTCAGATTTAATTGATAAGCGACTGCTGCACTCCGCAATTCTGTACGGCAGCTTCACAGCGGCAGCACTGAATCAGAGCACCCTGCCACATCAAAGCTGAAGACAGAAATAGAAGGCACAGCTGAAAGAAACTCACATCACATCTCCAGCATAGTGCTTGATTCGGAAGTCTCTGTCGAACTCCAGGGTTTTGTCAGTCGCACAGAGCTGCAAGAAATTCCACACACATTAAAACGCCGCCCTTGGACAAACAGCTCAGAGCTGCAGGCCGATAGAGGAGGTGTGGGAGCACAGCCACAATGGAACGAAGCAAATGTTGCTACCCAGCAGGGTGCACTCAGCTGTGCAGGCTGCTCCGTGACAGCTCACCAACGTGGGAGATGCCAGCAAGTGCTGAACACCATGCTGGACTCATTAAAAGAGCCGTAATGAACTTCACACGGACTGGGCAAATCAGCAGAAATCATTGGGAAAAAAGCAGAATAGCACTGAGCAGCAGCGATAGAGCTGACAGCCTTCTTGGATTCCCATGGGCACCGAGGGTTCCTATGGGCCCTACAGGTTTCCTTGAGTATTTAAGCTTCTGAGAAGGACTGGAGAAAGGGGCACAAGTGCTGCAGAGATGGGAAATGGATAACAGCAGAGTCAAACCTTGGGCTTTTGGGAAACTCTAGGAGTATGTGGGCTGTGGAACTCCTTGTCACATTGAAAAGAACCCACAGCCCTCATGCAGGAGGACTGCAGATGGATGGAGGCTGGGAGCAGTTTTCTTGCGTTTCACATCTCAGAGCTGCAGGGGCTGCAAGGGACCACTGCAGTGCCCCACTGCAACCCCAGGGCTTTCAGCCTTCCCTGCAAGGGAGATGCTCCAGGCCTGGCTGGTCTTTGTAGCTCTCTGTTCTCTCCGTTCAGCCTTCACTGCTGCCCAGTAGCTTGGAAGATGAAGAGTCAAGAGGACAAGAACAGACCTTCTCACACCCTGACCTTCACAGCCAGTTTGCTGAGGCTGACACTCATCACTTCTCTAACTCTAACCTTCCTCTAACAGAAGATTCTGGAATTCATTCACTCTCACTGCACTCAATGCTACGAAATTACAACATAATTTAAAAAGAAAAATCAGAAGTTAAAGACGTTGAGAAAATGAACCTTTGATGTTGAGAAGTACATTCACAACAGCCAGCACACATCTAGACCAGCACGACAGGGTTGTCAAGGTTGGAAAGACCACTGATGCCACCAAATCCAACCACCAGCCCCCCCCCACCACATCACCCAGTGTGACATCTCCCCTTTCCTTGAGCACCCCAGGGATGCTGCTCCCACCACCACCCTGGCAGCAGTGGCAGCACGCCTCTAAAACCTTCCTGAGAATGAATTTTTCCTCCTACTGCAAATACTGGGCAATTCAGAGAAGGACCCTTCCTTTAGGGATGTAATTTTGGCCACAAATATTCACAGTGGGAATATTTACCAGGATTTTTCCCGGCGTGTTTGGCTTTCACCAGGACAACCAAGCAGACAGCAGATCAGACATGCAGTAGGCAAACTAGGACACTACTATTTAGGGCACAGCAGCCCCTTAGAGCTTATCCACACGGAGCCAGTGTGCAACACGCTCTGCAGGGGAGCAGTGAGGCATTAACTCAGGCTGAAAGATGGGAGCTGCTCCCGCAGCATAACAGCACACGTCCTTTAACTCTTCAGGAACAGCTCTGCCCTGCACTGGGCTTTGTGGTACCCGGGCAGAACTACTGCAGTCCATGAAAGTGAAATCAAGTCCTCTGTGTCAACGCAGACTGGAAGAGGACAGCTTGGAGAGCTCAGCTTTCACACTGCCCTCCTCTATGGGATAAGGGCTCACCGAGGAAGATGTCTTAAATAACCTAAAGGACAAAGGCACGAGAGCGGGAGCAATAATTATGATGCTGAGAATTTTATGGGTCGATTTTTTCCAAGGCTCTATTGATTCAAGCGAGGAATTAGCAAGCCGGGAAGATACATCATGTCCTCCATAAACATTATTTATAGCAGCATTCCTCCTCTGCCTTCAGCTCAGTGCAAACAGCCTCCTGACAAGGCCCCCCCCGCTGAGCAATGCTGCAGTGGGATGCACACACATCATGCATGTATTTCATGTTCCCTGTACCACACAGGGACTCACGAAGGGCACTTCAGGAAAGTCACATCTGGAAGAAAAACTGATGATTTTCTGTTCTTCCCAGCCTCGGCTGAACCGAAGCACAGCCAGAGCCGCTCTGTGCGCTCAGCCTCCCCGGAGGCAGCCTTCAGCACATTTCTTACACAACCATGCTAATTCTGTATTTCTGACCTACATAAAACACCACACACGGGTGGGAGGGAGGAGGGGGGGGCAGCATCCTGAATAATGCATTTCCAACAGCGATTCTCAGCAGAGAGACATCAATATATTAAACTGCACTTCATAAATAAATGACATTTGATTACTCAGTGCCAATTCTCAGATGAACCAGGCTGGTGAGCACGTTTTCATTACGCTGCCAAGCAAGGAACGAAGCCCTTTAATTCACAATGCAAACAAAGCAAGCCGAGTAGCCTGGCAGACCATAGGCACAAGTGGAGATGAGCACATTTTGCAGCCAATGACAACGGCACAACAACCCGCAGCGCTGCAATAAGGCAGAAGTGTGAATAATTCCCTGCCACTCAGTATTACGGCAGCCTGGGAAGAATCCCACGTGAGCCGCAGCGATGCCTCCATTGGTCCTCAATGACATCATGAGATGCCAGGGCACAGCCGCAGCAGCTCCTACGATCCGAATGACAGCGGCGTGCATCGGACATCCTCGAGCTCCCTCTGCTGGGTGCAGGCCGCTCGGGGCGCACTGGGATGGCTGATTTCTGCAGCCGAGAGCTGCTCCTCCGCATTTAATTTCATACCTCGTGGTCACGATTCGACCCTGAGTCCCTCTGTTCTGTTATGTCTAAGCAATAGAAAAGGCATCGCAAAGGAGCACGAGGCTGCAGAGTACCTTTCTGCTGGAGAAATGCGCGTGCTTCCCCAGCTTGCTGTTCAGAGCCTCCAGGAACATCTCATCTGTCACCTTGCCAACGTTCATGCAGGCGTCGTCCAGGATGGCAATGATCCCTTTGTGCTGCTGCTCCACCAGGTCCACAATCACCTGGTTGTTAAAGTAATCGATCTGGAAAAGCCAGAAGCGGAGGGGTAGCTGTGATTTGCCCGGCACGAGAGCACCCACGTTACCCACTGATGGAATGGCACCCAGCACCCGTGGGACGGCTTCTCCCACTGCCAGATTCCAGAAAGCACCACTGGTGTGGACACGGATGTCCCGCTGCCTTCAAGAGGAGCCTGCTCCAGGATCCACCTTAGACCTGGTGCCGGTCCACCAACCCCTCCCCTGCCAAATCACTCACATGCTTCCAGGGAATGCCCTCCCGCTGGTACTCCTCCTGCTCCTGCTTCAGAACCAGCTGAATGAAGAGCTGCTGCAGCTTCTCGTTGCAGTAATTAATGCAAAATTGTTCAAAACTGCAGAAACGTCAGGAAAAAAAAAAAAAAAAAAAAAAAAGGTGAGTTTTCTCACTTGGGAAAGGAGCAGCACTGTGCTCCAACAACGTGTCACCTGTTGTTGTCAAATATCTCAAAGCCGTAGATATCCAGGACGCCAATGACCGTGTTCTTCCCATGCACCGTCGTGTCGTAGTTCTTCACCTCAATCACGTCGTTGATGTGCGTCACAATCCAGCAGAAGAGGCGCTCGTAAATGGCCTGCCAGGAAGCAAACATTGAGGGCCTTCCTAACGTCACCCATTCCACACCCACACCTTTTGATTTCTTAGCAAAGGGAGGACAACTGCCACCCCTGTGCTACCAGCCTCCCACCTTTCCACCACAAACGACAGCACTTTGTTTCCACGCAGTCCTAAAGGCTGCTCCTCCACCCTATACCCATTGAATTTAACTGCTGAGGAAGTTGAGAATCCTATTTCCCAAAACATTCAGCCCTATACAGCACTAAAAATGCACAGTGATGAAAGACAACTCCATAGTGAATGTCTTCCACAGGCATGGCCGCTCTGATCCACCTCAACCAACAGCAGCGTGTTCCACTGTTATATGAGATCAGGTGAAGAAAAAGGAGATTCCAGCTCACTTTTGCAAAGGCATCTCTGCCATAGGTGGCTTCCTGCTCAGTGTGCTGCTTGTCGATGACATCCCGGCCCGTAGCGACAGTCCGGAACAGAAGGGCCTTTTCCACCAGCTCAGATTTTGTCGACAGCAGGTCTGCAATGTTGGACACAGCCTTGCTGTTCTCTATCAGGGGCGTATCGCCATCCACGGAAAACTTCAAGTTCCCCTGCAAGAAGTAGCAAGAAAGTTAGATTTCTCAATCATTTTTGTTAATATGAAACAGAGGAGCCCATCTTTTATCTGCCATTCAAGCCAGAACAATCTCTCACCACATCAGAAGGGTTGGCCTGCACACTCACACGCTTCCACAGTCAGCGGAAGCAGCAGAGCCTGACCCAGAGCAAAGAATCCCCGCTCAGAGCTCAGCTGAACTTGTGGAAATCAAATCACAACAAAGACTTTGGGCAGTTGAATTCCTGTCCCAAGATTCTGAACCGCAGCCTCACCCCCGCGGGCAGAGAACTTTACCAAGTGAAGAATGACTGCCACGATTTTGTAGACAGTCTGAATCTCCTCTTGCTTGAAGCCTATCACCTTCATGGCATCAGCAACTGCCTTGAACTCAGCACCATCGTTGATGGAACACTGCAGGAAGGAGATGTTTGGGACATGAATTGAGAAAGCAAGGGGGAGCAGTTTTAAAGTGAGACAGGGGAGGTTTGGGTTGGATATGAGGAGGACATTTTTCCCCCAGAGGGTGGTGAGGCACTGGAACAGGTTGCCCAAGGAGGCTGTGGATGCCCCATCCCTGCAGGCATTCAAGGCCAGGCTGGATGTGGCTCTGGGCAGCCTGGTCTGCTGGTTGGCGACCTGCACACAGCAGGGGGTTGGAGCTGGATGAGCGCTGTGGTCCTTTGCAACCCAGGCCATTCTGTGATTCTATGATTCAAAGACTCTGCAGCCCACAGCAAACAGAGAGGTAATGCAGTATTTTTCGGATGCAAAAAATTGCTCTGAGATCGACTGATCCCAATGCCATGCTGTACACCTGCATATCCCACTGCTTTCCCAGTGGAATTTAAAGTGGAAGGGCAGAGGCTGCTCATAAAACACAGAACAAACAGTGCAGTCACAGACGCCACGAGTACTGCTCAGCACAGACAGCACATTTGTGGCCTTTTCTCTTTTCTGTGGAGTGTGCCACAGAGTTGTAGGGCTTGGAAGGGACCTCTGGAGAACAATGAGCCCCAGCATGCAGTCATCTCCAAAGTCCAGAGCTCTGCCACAAACACCATTACAGTGTCGCCTTCCCATAACACTGCTCCCCACTTCTGCAAGCTCAGCAGTGATTCAAACATTTAAGAAGCCTTTACAACTTTAAGACAAGTCTCCTGCCACTCACCTTGAGCTGTGCTCCAGGAGAGATGTAGCTGTATGCAGATGCATCCTTCTGCAGATGTAGGGAGCGCAGCATCTGGTCAGACCCCCCCTGGAGGAGCTGTGTTTGAAGGAAATCAAACAGAAATCAAAAAGGTGAATCAAAATAAAGAAAATCCTTCATTTTTTCCACAGTAAATCTACCTTTTTTTGTAATAGACAAGTTCTTTTTCTTATTTACCTGCTTGCCAAGCAAAACCATAAAAACATGCCATGTGAGAATAAAGGTTACAGTAATAGGTTGACCACTTCCCCCAAAGGACACATGAGGGAATTGCTGTACAGAGTGGAAGACATTAAAAAGAACTCAAAGAAATAAAGAAAGCAAACTTGGTGTCATAAAATTGCTTCCATATGAAGTAAAGGCCTCGAGAGAACACAGAGGGGTTAGGCGGATTACAAACAACAGTAGCCAAAGTCCAGCACTCTGCCACACCTGCCTGGTTACTCTCAAGTTTGCAGATGTATCAGCATGGGACTGGAGATGGAAAAGAGAAACCTCCCCATGCTCTTCCCCTCTTCACACCACTACACAGGATCAGCTGCAACAGGGGAACCCTCTGCAAAACACACAGGGTGCGAAAGCTCTACCTGCCTGCCTGCATGTCTGGGACCCGACTGGATACCAACCTGGTAAAAAGAGTGAAAGCTCCGCTCTCCTGGCTGCTGCACGATCACACGAGACTGCAGGGAGAGAGAACAGCAGGTGGGTATTTCTGCATCTGGATGCTGAGCACTGGAAGCAAAGCTCAGCTGAGCACAGGCAGAACAGCTCCAAACCAACCTCCTGCTGCACCAAGGCCATGCTGAGCGCTGCCAGCGAGGCGCAGCCACAAGCTTTCATCAAAAGAGCAGAGCAGTGCTTCTGAGGCACGCAGCGGCCAACAACTGAGCTCACCTTTTCCAGCAAGTAGTTGTTGATGTGGCCACCGATTGGGTCTCCTTTGAAGTCGAAGTTGATGTCCATGTACTTCCCAAAGCGGCTGGAATTGTCGTTACGGTTCGTTTTGGCGTTGCCAAAGGCCTCCAACACACAGTTGGATTTCAGCAGGATGTTCTTCACTCTTTAGTACAGATAAAAGAGAAGAGGATGAGCTCTGTACCCAAACCACAGAACTTTTTTGCAAGCATCTATAGAGATGTGAGCAACAGCAGAGATGCTCTTTGGTTTTGTATTCAGGTAGGTGTGTAAAACATCAGCAACTCCCCAGGAAATCAGCTGGGAGCTCCTGGTACTGCTCCTCAGAGCTGAGCAAAGGGGAACCAACGATCCCACTGCAAACAGCAGCAATCAAAGCACAGCTCCTTTACACAGACAAGTGTTGGAGGTAATTTCTTGACGTCTTTCACCAACATTGGGACAAAAAGAACTCAAAATAGATACTCAATCTGTTTCAGTAGAAAGCCATTTTCTTTAGGAGTGACAGACACATTGCAGTTCAGGAGTAGCAGACCCTAAAGGACACAGAAATGCCCCTAGTGCTTAATGTTCTATTCTCATTCACATATTTCAGGCAAGTTGCCACTGGAAATGTGATTTTGAGATGCTGGTTCAACTTTGGAAGTTTGAAGGCTTGAGTTCTTCCTCACTTTTCTATGGGTTGTTAGCAAGCAATATTGCAAAACTGCCAGAAGAAAAATTGTGTCTGAAGAAAATGCTGCCAGATCAGCATGCAAGTAGGAGATTGTCAGTAAGACAGAAAGAGACCCAGGGACAAAGCCAGGACCCCTTTGCAGAGCCCTTACCTTTCCACCTCCGCCCTCTGCCCCGGGTTGGTGATGGCTGCAATGTACTGCATGATGTACTTGCTGGCTTCTGTTTTCCCAGCCCCGCTTTCACCTGAGGGCACAGAAAAGGGACAACAGACTGAAAATACCAAAGTGCATCACTGAGCAGCACCCCAATCCTACCATGATGATGTCTGGGGCTTTTTGGTTTTGTTCGTTAAAGCAAGTTTATTTGTGCCTGCTGCTGCTGCTGCGCGGTTTGATGTAAGGTTTCCCAGGTCGGCACAGAGCATCAAAAGGAATATTGTGAGAGGAGAAGGACTGGCAGCAGCAGAGCTGGGAAATGCAGCACAAGGGGCCACTGTTCAGCACATATCTCAGCTTTTCAGAGCCGGGGACATCAAGGAAACGGAGTGCCAGGATCCAGATAGCGACCATTCATGGCACAGACTGCGCTCCTGCTGTCAGCACCGTGATGCACAAACAGCCTGAACAGAGAACAAAGCGCTGAGCAGCCATCAGAGGGCAGAGATCAGCACTTCTCCGGGGTGACACTTCACACCGCTCAACCTTCTGCACGCAGAAATGACCAATGTCAGTGACACATCCACTGGCGAGGCTGAGCCAGCCGCTGGCAAACCTGCTGCTGGCTGGTCTTGAAGGTCCCCTCCAACCCAAGCCGTTCTGTGACTCTACGACACCAGCCCTTGGGTCAGGTAAGCGTTCACCATAAGGAAGAGCTCTCAGCTCACCCGAAATCACAATGCAGGTGTCCTTCGACCTCCTCTTCATCGCTTTGTACGCGGCGTCAGCGATGGCAAAGAGGTGGGGTGGCCTCTCGTAGAGCTCCCGGCCCTTGTACTGCTCGATCGTGTCCCGCCCGTAGATGTTCAGGTTCTTGTAAGGGTTCATGGAAACCACCACTTCTCCAATAAAGGTGTAGATCCGTCCTTTTTCAAACCTGGTTGAGGCAAAAAGGGAGAAAGATCAGGAGAAATTCAGCACGTTTTCCAAGTGGGCTGCCATTAACTCATCAGTGCGTGGAGTACAGCCAGCTGCAGCAGCATGGCCCATGCTGACCCAGCTCTCCATGGAAAAAGGAGTACGACCCAGCAGCTCAGAATCTCACCCTGCACGAAGGAAATCTCTACTGCTGTTCCACTTACAGACGCACAGTGGATCAGATTACTGCCACACCAACAGACTGACTTTGAGGACAGCAAAGTTCTGGCTCACCAGCACACACAAGCTGGCTTCAGGCATCACCAGGTGTCTCTGCTTCCATCAGTACGCTAACAAAAACAATTCTGAGATTTAATTCTTATCATTGGCACTAAGCAAGGACGAGTGAGACGAGCGGTGTATTTAAGCCTCACGACATTAGATGGCACCATCACACCTCTGCAGGCGAGGAGGTGCAGCACAAACACCAGCAATGCTCGACTGAATTTATCACCACCCCCACGTGGTGACAGCTGTGACATCCTCTACCATCCACCCGAGGTTCTCTGCAGGGTCGTGGGACGCTTTGGGTGTAGCAGGTGTGACAACCTCGAGAAAGGCAATCCAGGCACCAGCACTCCACGTTCTCAAAGCCACGCTGCCTTCAGCTCCAAAGTACTTACATGGAAAGTTACAAGAACTGCAAAAGCTCTGTTTGTTCCCGCAGTCCCAATCCGCACTTCCCAAAACTTCACAAGTAAAGTTTTTCACATTTCTGAGATAAGCTGCTTGGAAGCTACCAAAAATGTATTAGAAAAGAGAAGGCAATAACAATTAGCATTACCAACTGCAGCACAGCAGCTCTTCCCAAACTACTGCTACAGAAAGGATGGGTAACACACAAGCAACAGAGGCTTATGGCACAGCCCCGCAGCTGGAGGGTGCACGGTAGAGGGAGGAGGAGGAGGATGGAGTGACAGCATTGTGGACAAATGGAGGGCGGCTGCTGTGGCTGCCTGCAGTTGTGCGAGGCCTCTGGCACGGCCCTGCACCACGTCCCCATCTCTGCGCTGGAGAAAGATGGGATGTGAGCTGCACCAAGGGCTGGCTGGATGGCTGCAGCCACAGGGCTGCACTCAGTGGATCCACGCGCAGCTGCCCCAGGGGCCGTATTCGGTGCTGTTCAATGCCTTCATCAGTGACACAGAGCCGGGATCGGTGCACCTCAGCTGCTGCAGGGGACGCCGAGCTGAGCGGTGCAGCCACTATGAGAGGAGGAAGGGAAGCCGTGCAGAGGGACCTGGACAGGCTGCAGAACTGGGCACACGAGAGCTCAGCGAGGTCCAACACGGCCAGGTGCAGGGTGTCAAGCTGGGGCCAACCGAGCCCTGCCCACAGCACCGGGATGGGAGCAGACGAGCTTTAAGGTCCCCTCCAACCGAAGGCACTCCGTGTCTCCCTGAGGAGAGGTTCCCTGCGGGCTGGCAGAAGTGCATCTCAGCCAGTGTGACTCTCAGCAACACTCCTGCTCACCTCCTGCTCCCTCCTCCCCACTGCCCAGCACTGAGGCTCCCCAGTGCTGTGATCCGAAGCTCCCAAGCCGCCCCTCGCTGCTGATAAAGCCGCTTTTCATCCGCCGGCTGCGGCAGCCAAGAACAGCAGCGGCTGTTTTCCTACCGCATTGCTCTGCTCTGAGCCCTGCTTTGCTTCGCCCGAGGAGAACTCGTGAAAACTTAAGCAAACTTAAGCTGCCCGAGGTGTGAGCAGCATTTGTGTTTGTTTCTGCTGCAAGGAGGGGTCGCTCAGCAGAGCAGAGGGGCTCTTCGGGTGCCCCAACATCCACTCAGCAGCGGGATTTTTACTGAAAGCCACGCACAGAACATGTGTTGAGAGGAAGAGCTGCCCTGCTCCTGGGAGCTGACACTTCCAGGGTCAGGCCCCTTTTGTGCACATCACCACAACCCCATCCTGCTGCACGGCGAGGCCGAGGAGGAGAACTGACCTTTCCACTTATTAACTCAGCACCTCAGAACCAACCCGCAGCGAGGGGACAGGTTGCAGCTGTATACACGCAGACGTCCCACCTTCGTGTCTAATTGCCACTGGAAAACATCACACAGATCAGAGCTGAAGCAGAAATCTTCGCCACCAGAGAGCACTCACATTAAGGGCTTCTCCCACCTGACAAACACTGCAGTCAAAAATAAAACTGCTCTGACCGAGGAAATGATGCAACTTGAAATGCACTCAGTACAAATAAAGAAAAGAGTTAGCTGGCAAGGCTGGGAACCCATTCTGCAAAACAACATCTGCAGAATGCAGACAGTCCAGCAAAGGCACCCTACCATGAGAGCAGACACCGCCATCCACATTACGTGGGGAATTCTTCATTAATCATTGACTTGGCAACTCCTCTGCTCTTCAGGTGTTTATGCACAGTGATGAGATCCCCTCTCAGCCCTCTCTTCACTGGGTTGGACAGCCCCACATCCCTCCGATCTGGCTGTTCCCCAGATCCCTGCCATCTGTGCAGCCCTGTGCTGCAGGTAACCCCTGCCTGCCCGGCACCGGGGAGCCCAGCACTGAACACAGACACGGCTTCCCCAGGGCACAGCAGAGGAGAGATCACCTCCCCCTCCCTGCTGGCTGTGCACAACGCACTCCCGGGCCCCCTTGCCTATCCTGGCCTCCAGGGCATGCTGCTGGCTCATGGCCAACCCCTGGCCACCAGAACTCCCAGGTCCTTCTGCTACAAACCCCTCCTGGTTTGGGTTACCCCCCCATGGCAGCTCTTTGCTATTTCCTACCACCCAACACATGTAACATCCTATTTCTGCAGGCTTTGACTCCATTCTCACAGCACACGCAGGAAGATGTCAATTAAAACCTGTTTCACTAAGAGATGTAAGCGCACAGTCGAGGATGGGCTGCTGAGGGTCTTGAAGCTGAGTGCTGGTGGTGAAACTGCATTTACCTGGACTTAAATGCTACTCAGACAAGCGTGCCTTTCAGTGACACCAGGTCTGCCTGCTGGGCGTTCACTGCTGCTTGAAGCCTTGCTCAGGTAACCCTGAGCAGATATCAGACAGGGAAGAATGCTTTCAGCTCCTTCACAAAACTGTTCACAAACTGCATGACAGCCAGTCGCCCTGGTCAGAAGAGGGCTCAGACAAACAGGGCTTGTGTTGGCAGAAGCAGAGCTGAAATATTTTTACTGCAGCTGAAAAACAGACCAAGGAACTGCCCAGCGTTACCTCCTTGCTCTCAGAAAACAAACCCAGCCTGTTGCGATGCTCGCTGGGCATGTCTGCAATGTTTTCATCCAGAAAAACTGCAATTTAAGCTTATTTAATGGGCAGGTGAATTTTTTTTTCTTGCAGCTGTCCCGCATGGACTCGGTTTTTACATGCTGCCAGCTTCACAAAATAGGAAATGCCATTCAGTGTGCATTCTGCACCACTCCTTTCCTGTCGGGAGGGAGCAGGGAGGGCAGGCTGAGGAATACTCCATTCATCTGCACTCTTCACTTCAAGAACCCTTCGTCGTGACATCGCCATTGTTTGAAATAAAACAGTGCACCAGGAGCTGCGGTGCCACGTCGTCCCAGCAAAGCCACGCTCAGGAAGACAGCTGTAAGCTGAGCAGACTCAGCCCAGCACAGCTGACCCGCAGGTCACAGCTCTGCGAGTCCCAGGGTTGGGGCAGGGGAAAGGGAAGGTGGGTGCTGACCTGGCTGCAATGAATGCTGAACGAGGGCTGGGGCCAAGGAACGTCGCCGAAACGGAATACTGAAATCCCTCTCCTGAAGTATGAAGTCAAAATACTGACCTTGCACTGAGAAACTGCCAAACCACTAAACACAGGAGTCACTGAGCCCTGGCTGCTGCGTGCGTCAGCGGGATGAGCTGCCTCTCCTGCAGCAGGGAAGCGCTGCGCTCTCCTCTTACAGCTAGAAGCAGAGCAGAAGGCACAAGCAGACCTGAAGCAGACAACACGAGAGAGGGCTTCTGACAAGCTTTCGGGCAGAACACAACGCCTGGGATTCCTTCTCCCATCCACACCTGGGGAAGCTGCTGCTGAGCACAGGCAGAGGAGCTCGCTGCTGGTTTCTCTGCAGAGAGCACCAAAACACACTTTTCCACGTTAAAAGTTTGATTTAGACCACATGAAATCCCAGTGCAATAATTACATGGCTCTGCTCTGAGCCCTGAACGACCCCGAGGCTGAATTATCCCAGGATTCTGTATCTAACCAAGAACGAGGCAGAGGACAGCAATGCAACTGCATGGTCCATAGCCTCTAATAGCTGTCAAACAGCAGCTCAACACTTAAAGCATATTAAAGGAAAAAGGGGAGGGGGACAAGGTGAAAAAGAGGAAGCACAAACATCTGGTAGGTTCTTCCATCTGCTCCCATCCCAGGTGACGTCAGCCACAGCTGTGCAGCGTCCTCCAAGAGAACCAACTGAACTGCATGAGAGCCTTCAGAGCACTGCGCAGCAGGGCAGGCTGATGCAGCCCCTCTGCCTACACTGGTAGGTGAGCACCATCCTGCCAGGGAGCATCAAACATCCCAATGTTTGTGCAAAAAAAGAGGAGGAAGGGAATGGACTCAGCCTGGCAACCATAGACTTGAAACTGGAAGTGCTGTGTCGGGAGAGCAGGATCTGGGCAGAACAGCTCAGTGGAGGCAGCAAGGAGCAGTGAGGGGCATCGTGCAAATGATAGGCACCAAATTCTGCCCTGCTTCAGCAGCGTGTGAGCTCCGCAATGCAGGTTTGTGGGAGCAGCGTCCATGCAAAGGCGCTTCTAACCACCACGCTTCCTTCCAAGGCTGCAAATGGAGCTGTAAAGTCCTGCAACGCATCACAAAACGGCAGCAAAGCAAAGGCTGTGGGGCCACCTCAGCTCCCACTTGTTCCACAGGCTGAGGTGCCAAGCTTCAATCGGAGCATTTCACAAGGACCTGCAGCCAGCCACGAGCTGCTGACACTCAGATGCTCCATTGTTCTGTTGCAAA